GCTGCAACAACTGTCATAAATACGAGTCCGTTGCCAAGAATTGTGACCACGGGGAAGCATCAATGGTTGCCAGTGGGAAAAACAGTCATAAATCACCTTTCTTTCGGCGCCGTTATAAGTTCAAACGGTCATTCAATGAACTGTTGTAACTCAAGGACTGCCCGTCATCCACTCTTACAAAAGCTGACATTCTTCGAGGCATAGAAAAGGGGCTTTCCAACCTTGGGAACTTTTAAGACTGGTAGACTTCAACTCCCAGAGTTCCTCAGCCAGCGCATGCTGGTGGAGGAATTCTGGGAGTTGCAGTCCACCAATCTTCAAGTGGCACGGTTGGCTAAGGAATTCTGGGAGTTGCAGTCCAGCAGTCTTAAAGCTGGAGCAAGTGGCACGACTGGAGGAGGAATTCTGGGAGTTGCAGTCCACCAATCTTCAAGTGGCACAATTGGCGGAGGAATTCTGGGAGTTGCAGTCCAGCAGTCTTAAAGCTGGAGCAAGTGGCATGACTGGAGGAGGAATTCTGGGAGTTGCAGTCCACCAATCTTCAAGTGGCACAATTGGCGGAGGAATTCTGGGAGTTGCACTCCACCAGTCATAAAGCTGGAGCAAATGGCATGACTGGCAGAGGAATTCTGGGAGTTGAAGTCCACCAGTCTTAAAGTGGCATGGCTGGATGAGGAATTCTGAGAGTTGAAGTCCCCCTCTCTTAAAGCTGCCAAGTGGCACAACTGGCGGAGGAATTCTGGGAGTTGCAGCCCAGCAGTCTTAAAGCTGCCAAGGTTGGAGACCCAGAATATAGATGGGGGCGAGGAGATTGTCAGGTCACGAACAGCAGCTGTCGACTGTAAAAACAAACGTATTTATAAAATGCAAGAACCGGGTTCCCAACAGCTGGCTGGATTCAGCAAACATGTGTTCTATCTGGAAGCTGATTTGGTTTTAAGGCGAAGCACAAACTCTGGCACAAGCACAGATTAGTAGTTTGCTAACGTCATGGTTAAGCTAAAGAAGCTGGGAAGAAAACTCTCGCACATCTGTAGCATTCAGATGGTGTCCAAAAGGCGTTCCCCCCCTCCCACCTCTGAAATGTAGGACAGTTTTCAGCCAGATGATCGGTCACGGTGGGTCAGCTGTCCAGAAAAAACAAAAGAACGAATAAATATAGGGTGAAAAGGGAGCTTGGAGGTCTTCCAGTCCAACCCCCCGCTCAAAAAAAGGAAAAGATTTCCTTGTCCAGTTTTGTCCGACTTTAGGGCACGATGTTTATCTCCTTTTCTTGGCCGAGAGAGCCAGCGTCGGCCGGAGACATTGTCCGTGATCTGTGTGCCAACAGACGCATGGAACGCTGGGACCTTCCCACCGAAATGGTACCTATTTATCTATTCACTTTTGCATGCTTTTGAACTGCAAAGTGGGCAGGAGCCGGAGCAAGGGATGGGAGCTCACCCCATCAATGAGTGCTCGGGACTCGAACCGTGACTGTCGACTTTCGAACTGACAAGCTCAGCATCTTTAAACTGCTGAGCCATCGCTCCCCCACCCAATCCTGATTAATCAGGAGACCCTACAGCATTTCAGACCAATGGCTGTCCAACATCTTCTAAAAGGACTCCAGTGATGGAGCAACCACAACTTCTAGGAGCAAGTAGTTCCACTGGTTAATTGTTCTCACTGTTAGGAAGTTTCTCCTCAGTTCTAGGTTGCTTCTCTCCTTGATGAGTTTCCATCCATTGCTTCTTGTTCTACCCTCAGGGGCTTTGGAGAATAGCTTGACTCCCTCTTCTTTGGAGGGGCTTCTTTGGGGCAGCCCCTCAAATATTGGAAATGTGCTGTTATGTCTCCCCTCAATCTTCTCTCCATCAGGCTAAACTTACTTTAGCTTTTCATCATACGATTTAGCCTCCAGACTCTCCATCAGGTTTCCTGCCTAAACGGGATTGGACTAGAAGACCTCCACGGTCCCTTCCAACTCTGTTATTCCTTTCTATTCTTTTCCATTCCATTCCATATTCTATTCTATTATTTATTTTCTATTCTACTATACTATATTCTCTATTTTCTACTCTACTCTATTCTCTATTTTGTATTCTATTCTATTCCACTCTATTCTCTATTTTCTCTTCTATATTCTATTCTATTTGTTCTATATTTTGTTATTTATTCTACTCTATTCTCTGTCTATATTCTATTCTATTTTACTCTTCTCTGTCTATATTCTATTCTACTCTATTCTCTATTTTCTCTTCTATATTCTCTTCTATTTGTTCTATATTTTGTTATTCTACTCTATTCTCTGTCTATATTCTATTCTTTT